TCTATTTTTCGTTCCTAGCTGGACTCTCTAAAGAGTATAGGGAATAACATATGGTCCTTTTTTATAGAAAAAAATCATCTCTCATTACAAAATTGGCATGAAATGGATTAGGTTGAGAGAATAAGTAGTCGAAGATGATCACCTGCTGTGTTTTCTAGCTGTATACCTTGTTAGTGTCTCAAGCACACTATTGGTCATCTTCAAAAGATACAAATCTGTTTACCATAAATACAGATATTTTGTTATGCTCTTTCCCTTGCTTTGAGGAGTGGGTGAAGTGCTTTGCTTTTGAATGGTGACAGTGCTGGGAATTTGAGTGTCTGGGCACCTGAGGAGCTTTTCTTTCTCTGCTTTGTGTCCGATTGGGAGCAGGTGTGCACACAAAGCTAGCTTCAAGCTACAATGGAAGAACAGACAATTATATTCTGAAGTTAAATGTTTCTAAGTGATGGGATGGGGAGACAAAAAGCCAGCACTCCCTGCCTCCCATTGACAATGCACTGGATTAAACAGAGAAACAAACCGTTGTTGAATTTTCTTCCCAGGTAAGCCAATCTCCATGGTTTTACCCTTAAGTTTTCCTTAGAACTGCAGGATGTTTATATATGTATGTATATATGGGAGCTCCCGGTACCGCAGTGGGTTAAACTGCTGAGCTGCTGAGCTTGCTGACTGAAAGGTCGCTGGTTCGAATTCGGGGAGCGGGTGAGCTCCCCCTGTCAGCCCCAGCTTCTGTCAACCTAGCTGTTCAAAAACATGCAAATATGAGTAGATGAATAAATACCACTCTGACAGGAAGGTGACAGTGCTCCATGCAGTCATCCTGGCCACATGACCTTGGAGGTGTCTACAGACAATGCCAGCTGTTCGGCTTAGAAATGAAGATGAGCACCAACCCCCAGAGTCAGACATGACTGGACTTAATGTCAGGGGAAAACCTTTACCTTACCTTATATATATGTATGTATGTGTATACACACACGCACTTTTTTTGTTGTGGTACCGAACTTAGTGTGTGTCTTAGAAATATGATTATAACTTTCTTTTATGTTGTGGAGGAGTCTACATGGAACCGTTTTTTCAACTTTGCTCCAAAAATTCTACGTTTTATTTACTACTATTGTGTCTGACACTGGCTAAAACAGATACTTGATTGTGCTTTTGGTTTACTAGTGTTATTATGTCGTGATAACCTAAAAGGCAATATTGCAATCTGGAAACATACTCAAGGTGTTGACCATGCAATGAAATACAACAAAATCCAAAATGGAGTGATACCTTTATTATTATTTACAGTATTTATATTTCACCTTTCTCACCCTGAAGGGGGCTCAGAGCGTATCACAGAACACTTGTATAATAAACATTCAATGCTGTTATACACGGACAAGAAAGACAACTGTGCATGGAGGTATATCCTGGCTTTCCTATCTTCAGCATCTTGGAGGCTGTACTTGGCTCTGGCTACGGGGGGGGGGGGGGGGGGTGTTGCTCCATCTTCCCTGCCAAAGAGCTTTGTTTGCAAACTACCTCCTTGATTCCTCCTTGATCAAATCACTGGTATTTTTTCTGGCATTTCCTTATGGGTGCCTTAAATCCCCTCTGGCTTTAAAGCGGTTGCTATTTATCTACTCACATTTGTTTTCGCACTGCTAAGTTAGCAGAAGCTGGGGTAAATGTCAGGTGCTCACCCCAACTCGGGCTTCAAACTGTCAACCTTTTGATTGGCAAGATTTACTGCAGCTGGTGGTTAACCTGCTGTACGAAAGCTTTACTGGCTAACTAAAATGCACACATTCTACATGTTGGTTAGCCAATAAAAGTATCACTCATGGTTTTCTTGAATATTGCAATTGTTTATGTAAAAGTGTGGTGTAGTAGTTTGAATGTTTGAAAACAATTTTGGAGACCAGGGGTCAAATCCTTGCTCAGGCATGAAACACACTGGGTGAGCTTGAGCAAGTCACACTCTCTCAGCTTCAGAAAGTGGTGGCATTATCCCCTCTGAGCAAACCTTGCCAAAAACCCCCCAAAACCTGTGATAGATAGGGGTGCCTTGAGATTGCCTCAAGCTTTGAAATAATTACAAAGCACATGTCAATAGACAATATTCTTGAGGCCAAAGAACTGGCACATCACGTATTTCCAGGCTACTCTAGGAAACTTTTTGACTAAAGGGTAGAATATGAACACTTCAAACACATTGTGTAAAACACTTGCTTGGGAAATGTCTGCACTACCAAACATTTCCTACCAACATAGCTGACTATTATGACTGTGAACCCATGTACAGTTATTTGGGGCTTTATCTTGTTTGACTAATAAGGAATTTCCATGATATGAATTATATCATTTTCTAAACAAACAAACAATATCCTCATTTAACTTTGTTACTGCGTGTATTTTATATATAGCCAATGCACAGCACCCAGCTGTGATTCCTAATCTCTGTCCTTAGCCATTCTTTCAAAAACGGCATCCAAATAAATTCATTTTCTTTTGTAGTCTCTGCGATATAAATCTAATCCCAGTGACAAATTCTTTGCCTGTCCATCATGACTCAGAATTATACTTTTTAAAGTGTCCTTCTTGTTCTCCTGTTCAGACTTTTAAGGGTTCATCTACACTGTAGAATTAATGCAGTTTGACACCACTTCAATTGGAATGTTATGGAATTCTGGGATTTCTACTTTAATGAGGCCCCAACACTCTTTGGCAGTGAAGGCTAAAGACTTTGTAAAATCACAACTCCTAGGATTCTACAGCATTGAACCATGGCAGTTAAAGCCATGTCAAGCTCCATTAATTCTACAGTGTAGATATATCCCAAGTTTCAGCAGTCAGACTGCCAAGAGAACATATCATTGTATGCATCAGCACTAAAGGCTTAGAAAGTAATCAAGTAAATTTATTTGGTCCTAGGTGCATTTTGCTTATACTCCCGTATAATTGTTTAGGATCAATATGTTGGTCCTATTATTTTAACACTTTTATTTTCCTAGTCACCACAAAGCCAAGTGCTGGACAATTTATTTTACCAGCTGTATTGTCAATCATTGCTACTTCCTTTATGGAATTATGTCCATTCCTGCTTCACAAGGAATTAATTCTACACTGTTGATGTACCTTGTTCGGTGCAAGGTACATTTGTTACCTTTTACTCTAACTGTGATACATTGAGCCACTGAATACCACAGGATGCCAGTTAGTGGATATTAGTGTTGTGCATTCGGGATAAACCTTGACCCATTTTGTGCCCCAGCTTTCAGTGAAGGCCTTGATCTGCTTTTTGGGAGCCTCCCGAAATTGGGAGAGCAGATATTTGTTTTCACTCTGAGATGCCAAAAGGAAAGATTTGTGTTCTATCGACCCATTACAGGGCAGGGGGCTTCCCAAGCTCTCCTTCCTGTCATTTTATGTATTTAAGCTTTTTCTATTATAGAGGAGAGGAGCAGACGAGCTTGTACTTTCTGGGTCTGCACACACACTCTTTCCAAAGCAAGGAGGCAAGTTCTCTGTTTCTTACTCTAGAGGAGGCACTTGGCTGCGGGCAGGCACGTGCACTTTCTCTCCCGGGCTGCACCATGCCAGCAGCCATACACTCTTTCCAAGGCATTTTAAGGAGGTTTCCCACTTAAAGAGTAATAACCTCCTGGAAGAGGAGAGTAGTTTTCAGGGAATGAGGGTTTACTTTTTGTTTGCTGAGGGATTAATAAAAAAGGTTAAATGGTGATGCTGAAAAACAGAGTGGGAGCTGAGATGTCTTGCTTTTGTGTCAGGTGGATTTTTGTACCGGGTGGGCTCTTACTGTTATGAGCTCCCTAAGTACCGAAGGTACAAAAAGAAACGGAGTAAACGGAAGAAACAAATTCCACGCACAACTTTTTAAACTTTGTTTTATACATATATATATATAAACTGTATTCTTGGTTCACTCTTGATATGATAAATAAATATCCTCAGAGGTTGTGAGGTCTGTTGGAACTAGGAAAATGCGGTTTATATATCTATGGAATGTCCAGGGTGGGAGAAAGAACTCTTGTTTGTTGGATTACCATTTAATGGCCCAGCAGTTTCAAGGTCTGGCTTCTTACTGCCTGGGGAATGCAACAAAGGATCCCCCAGGCAGTAAGAAGCCAGACTTTGAAACTCCTAGGCCATTACATGCTAATCAAGGCAGCCAGTTGCAACATTCACACCTACCTCAAACAGACAAGAGTTCTTTCTCCCACCCTGGGCATTCTAAAGATATAGGTAAAGATAAAAGGTTTTCCACTGACATTAAGTCCAGACTCTGGGGGTTGGTACTCATCTCCATTTCTAAGCCAAAGAGCCAGCATTGTCCATAGACACCTCCGAGGCCATGTGACCAGCATGACTGCATGGAGTGCTGTTATATATATAAAGATATAAAAACCCCATTTTAATTTCCAACAGACCTCACAACCTCTGAGGATGCGTGCCATAGATGTAGACGAAAGGTCTGGAAAGAATGCTTCTGAAACATGGCCATTCAGCCCAGAAAACTCCCAACAACCCACTCTGAATTAGCTTCAATGATCAGTGTGAATGTGGCAAAAGGAAACCCTGGAACCAGTTTGAGGCCCAGATGGTGATGGCACAAACCATAGAGCATTGATGCACATTCAGGGTTTCCTTTTGTAGGCTTTGGTGGGAGTTTGTTGTCTGGCAGCGGCTGCAGTTACAAGCTAGCTTTGCATTGCATTCAGTGAACAATGTAGCTGGGGCTCCTCTACAAGGTAAGAGGAGATGAGGAAAGTGCTAAGCGCGGCTGCCCCTTTAAATTCCAGCGGTGTGGCTAAGAAGCAGCTCCTCTCTCTTTGCAAAGCGCTGGGCTGGGGCTGCTGCTGGTGGTGTGAGCCTGTCCTTCCACTTCCGAGCTCTGGAAGCCGGGAGAAGATCTGATCGCCTCGCCGGGTCCCTTTGGGAGGGAGGAAGGAAGGAAGGAGGCACAGGGAAGAGAAAGGGAGCAAAGCAGGAGCAGCCTCTTCCCTCCTCCAGACAGAGCCAGGCAGCGGGGACGGCTTGGGCTCTGCTCCTCTCTTTCTGATCCTCCTCCGAGGAGAGGAAAAAAGGGGGTTTGGTTCCGCAGCATCCTGAGGACCATTTCCATAGTAACCTGTTCCAACGGGGATGGGTTGGGTCTCCCCGGCCTTTCCAGGATGGCATTTGACAGGTAAGCCTCCTCTTGGCCCTGGAAGGAGCCCTCTCACTCTGGCGGGCCCCTTCCCGACTCGCCTCCAAAGTTCTCCCCAATTTGAGACCTAGATGAAACGAATGACGCCATTTCCTGGGGTTGCCCTGGTGGGGTGGACGGTGCGTGGGGTCCTTTTCTTTCATTCTTTCCCCAAAGATCCTTCCTTCCTTCCTATTTTCCCCATTGGAGAGAGAGAGAGAGAGAGAGACAAGGAAGGCGTGCTGAGCCCTTTCGTGCCTGCCCGCTCCGGAGTCCCACCGGGCTGGACTTTGGGTTGACTTGCGGGGTGAAGAGGCCAATACCGGGGTGACGCCGCTCTCCTCCCCTTCTTTGTTTGTCCCTTCCGACTGGAGCATCCCTCCTCCCCTTTTCAGTTGTCCCTCTCCTCCTCCTCTTGTTTGTTTGCCGGTATCTATTCCCTCCGATATATATACACCTTTCTCCCCTTTTTCTTTTGTTGCAAAGGGAGAGAAAGGGAAAACCATGCCTGCCGGACTTCCATCTCCCCTGGAAAAGGTCCTTCTCCTCCTTTTTTTTTTTTTTTTGCAAAAGGCAGGTGGTTAGGACTTTATTGAGCTTGGGTCTTTATCTCCCCCCCCCCCTCCAAAGGGATGTGTGCCTCGAAACACGCCCAGAAACCACACGGCACGCTCTGTGGCACTGGCTGGTCTTTCTCTAGGAGGTGGGTGGCCCCTTGGATCCCCCTCAAAGCAACCCTTTGGAAAGGAGTGACTAGTGCTGGACACTATGCATCCTTCCCTTCAAGCAAGGGGATGGCAGCAGCATCAGGGGCGAAGGCAAGGAAGGAGGCAGGCGGGGAGGGAGGGAGGGAAGGAAGGAAGGACGGGGAAACGTCGGGGGGAAGCTGACAGTTGGGAGGTTTGTGTGTGGCGCTGGTGGGGAGGGAGGAAGGGGGGCCTGCCAGGGAGGGGAGGGGGGAGGTGACAGTGGATGGAGGAAGCAGCCTGTTGTTAATTGCCTAGGTTACAGTTCCTGCATCCTTTCCTGCTTGGGGCCCTTCTCGGTCCTAGCGCCCTCCCTGTTTCCACACTGGAGGCATCTAGGACCACTTGCTGGAGAGCTTCTGGTGTCTTTAGAGCCCTTCCACACAACTCTATATCCCAGAATATCAAGGCAGAAAATCCCACTTTATCTGCTTTGAATTGGAATATATGGCAGTGTGGACTCAGACAACCCAGTTCAAAGCAGATATTGTGGGATTTTCTGCCTTGATATTCTGGGATATAGGGCTGTGTGGAAGGGTCCTTGGATAACCCAGTTCAAAGCAGATATTGTGGGATTTTCTGTCTTGATATTCAGGGATATAGCACTGTGTAGAAGGGCCCCATGCATAACCCAGTTCAAAGCAAATATTGTGGGATTTTCTGCCTTGATATTCTGGGATAGAGGACTGTGTGGAAGGTCCCCTTGCATAACCCAGTTCAAAGCAGATATTRTGGGATTTTCTGCCTTGATATTYYGGGGTATAGGGCTGTGTAGAAGGGCCTTTGGATAACCCAGTTCAAAGCAGATATTGTCAGATTTTYTGYCTTGATATTCTGGGATATAGGGCTGTGTRGAARGGYCCTTGGATAACCCAGTTCAAASCAGATATTGTSRGATTTTCTGYCTTGATATTCWGGGRTATASMRCTGTGTGGAAGGGYCCCTTGSATAACCCWGTTCAAAGCMAATATTGTGGGATWTTTCTGYCTTGATATTCTGGGATAGAGGACTGTGTGGAAGGTCCCCTTGCATAACCCAGTTCAAAGCAGATATTATGGGATTTTCTGCCTTGATATTCYGGGKTATAGRGCTGTGTRGAAGGGYCCTTGGATAACCCAGTTCAAAGCCTTGATATTCTGCCTTGATATTCTGGGATAGAGGACTGTATGGAAGGTCCCCTTGCATAACCCAGTTCAAAGCAGATATTGTGGGATTTTCTGCCCTGACATTCTGGGGTATAGGGCTGTGTAGAAGGGACCTTGGATAACCAAAGCAGATATTGTAGGATTTTCTCCCTTGATATTCTGGGATATAGGGCTGTGTAGAAAGGCCCTTGGATAACCCAGTTCAAAGCAGATATTGTCAGATTTTCTGCCTTGATATTCTGGGGTATAGAGCTATGTGGAAGGGTCCTTGGATAACCCTGTTCAAAGCCTTGATATTCTGTCTTGATATTCTGGGATAGAGGACTGTGTGAAAGGACCCCTTGCATGAAATCAATCATGCACACACACATAATTACATCATAAAACATTGACATTCATAAAACATAGTCATAGGGCCCTTCTACACAGTCCTATATCCCAGAATACCAAGGCAGAAAATCCCACAATATCTGCTTTGAACTGGGTTATTTGAGTCCACACTGCCATATATTCTAGTTCAAAGCAGATAAAGTGGGGTTTTATTCAGCTGTGTGGAAGGGCCATAGCTGCGGATAAAACCAGGTTGTTTTCAACTGGCACACACCTAGTTCTGAACTGACACCAACAATAACTCCTTGGACTAGCCCTTAAAAATCTTATGTAAGGTCAATGCCATGATTTTAAACTGGATGGCTAAATGGCCATCTGTCTGGGATGCTTAGATGTGAGTGTTCCTGCAAGGCAGCAGGATTGGTTTGGACAGATTGGCCCTCGGAATCTCCTTTAAGTTCCTTTATACACTACCATAAAATCCAGATGATCTGCTTTGTACTGGATTATCTGGCAGTGTAGACTCATCTTAATCCAATTAAAAGCAAATAATGTGGATTATCTGATTTGATAATCTGGATTATGTGGCAGTATAGAAGGGGCCTAACTCTGTGATTGTATGACTTGCTTTAACTGCCATGGCTCAATGCTATGGAAATTTGGAGTTGTATTTTTTCAATGTTATTCGCTGTTTTTTTTTTGTTGCCAAAAAGTGCTGGTGCCTCACCATAATACAGCTCCCACGCTTCCCTAGCATTGAACTATGGCAGTTCAAGTGGCACCAAACTGCATTGATTCTACAATTTAGAGCCAGCCTGCATAACCTGTGGTCCTCCAGGTGTTTGGGCCTCCAACTCCCGGAAGCCCTAGCCAAGACTTCTGGGAGTTGAAGTCCAAAATACCTGCAGGCCTGGTTTAGAGGCACCCCAAAGGCTAAAGGTGTCTCTTTCTGTAATCCAGGCTTTAACAATGTATTTGTTCTCACCAAGGTCTTGTGAAGTTTTTCCCCATCACTTTGGACACATGTATACTGTAGATTTGATGCAGTTTGACCCCACTTGAACTGCCATGGCTCAAAGCTATGGAATCATGGGAGGCATCAGCACTATTTGGCAGAAAATGCTAGAGGTCTTGTAAAACTATAATTCCTATGATGCTATAGGAATTATAGTTGCTATAGGAATTAGTTCCAGTAGTGTCAATATATAATAATTCTACAGTGTAGATGCACCTCTCTTATTCTGCCAGGTGAAAGAGCACACCCTTTGGCACATCACACTGAACACTTAGGTCAGCGCGAAACAGGCAGAGAAAGAACTTATTTCCCTGTGTGGATATTTACATGTGATGTCTTAGAGCCAGTTTGAGGCCTGGATGATGCTTATCCAAGGTGCTGAGCCTGTTTCAGTGCAGTCAAAATATTATCGTGGTTGACATGTGCCATCAAGTTGTTTCTGATTTATGCCAAGTCAAAGGTGAACAGGACTCTTTTGGAGAAGAGAATGCATGATTTGCCAGGCTCGCCCTGTTGGTTTTAATGGCTATGTGGGAATTTCGACCCTGGTCTCCAGTCATAGTTCAAACACACAGATCACTACAGTATGTCGGCTCTCCACAACATTATAGCCTCACTCTCATTTGTTTATAGTCAGGCTGGAGTACTCGTTCAGGCCTTACTATCCATCCTTCTCAATATGTCCTGGCTAGTGGATGATATGTCTAAAGGTTTAGCATTCAGAAAAGGAAGAGATGATGCTGGTAGCATAATAGAATTAATTCTTAAATGATAACTATATGCTAATTGGATTTTTTTGTCTAGGCTTAAATTAAGTAGACAATTAATTGGATGCATTTTGATAACATTGCATGAATATTTTGATAACCTTGCCTGAACATTAAGAATGCACTCCTTGTTTACTCAAAAGTAAATCCCACTCTGCCCAGTTAGATTTTCTTGTAGGTAAGCATACACAGTTTTGCAGGATATGTTGACAGGTTTCCCCAATATCCTTCACATAGGGGAAAACAACTTTGTCGAAAGTTGGAGCATGTATGATGCTGAAAGCCCTGTAGTGACTACTTAACTATTCAGTTTTTGGAAAACAAGGGCTCTTAAGGCATGTCCAGGTTAAAAAATATTTCAATAATAACAATAATTATTTCAAATTTGGGACATGAATACTCAATTATTTTTGTACTCATGAAGTTTCCACTTGATAGGCAAAAATGTGCAATGGTATTTTGGAAGAAGAGGAATTTTGAAACACTGGGTCCTGTGAGTTTTCAGGCTGTATGGCCAAGTTCCAGAAACATTGCCTCTTGACATTTCACCCACATCTATGGCAGGCATCCTCAGAGGTTGTAAGGTCTGTTGGAAACTAGGCAAGTAGGATTTATATATCTCTGAAATGTCCAGGGTGGGAGAAAGAACTCCTGTCTGCTCGAGGAAAGTGTGAATGTTGCAATTTGCCACCTTGATTAACATTGAATGGCCCTGCAGCTTCAAAGCATGGCTGCTTCCTGCCTGGGAGAGTCCTTTGTGGGGGGGGGGGGTGTTCGCTGGCCCTGATTGTTTCTTGTCTGGAGTTCCTCTGTTTTTTTAGTGTTGTTCTTTATTTACTGTCCTGATTTTAGAATTTTTTAAAATACTGGTAGCCAGATTTTGTTCATTTTCATGGTTTCCTCCTTTCTTTTGAAATTGTCCACATGCTTGTGGATTTCAATGGCTTCTCTGTGTAGTCTGACATGGTGGTTGTGAGAGTGGTCCAGCATTTCTGTG